GATTTTGCATATTAAAATATCTGGTATATGTGTTATACTACACATAATACTCTGTTCCTAATATTTCTATATCAGGATATCTAAAGCAGAGATACTCATATTTCCTAATAATGTTCTTGATTAACTTTAGGGTTAGGGTCATCCTATACTAGGGTTAAGATAGGTTTTAGATAGTTACATATAAACAAAATTGCATACCTGACATTTTTGATTACCTATCCGAGGTAAATTTAGACTGCTGCTTTTTATTTTTCAGATTTTTGGTTTTATTTTTTTGGTTTGCTTTACCAGCAATTATTAAAAATCTATAATTTGATTGGAGTTGATCACATAATTTGCCTCTGTGTAGCCCTCAGAGAATAACTAAAAGATAGATCAGTAGAAATAGATTATTTTAAAGAATTTTAACTTAAATCTACAGAATACGAGAATGTGATCCTTTTGTCAAATTAGGCTTTAGATATCCCTCATATTAGGAAATCTACATTGAGTTTACAGAGCAAGTAAAAGCAAGATTGATTAGCAAGTAACAAATGTCTAAACCCGGTTTAGAATACTGATAATAAGTGGATCTATTTAATTGATAATACTTACTCAATTTTTAAATCTAGAATAATACTAACGCTAATTTTCATCACTCCCTTAAATGCCTTTTCAAATAAATAATTTAATAATTATACGTATATATTAACGAAAAAGAAAAATTGTATTATTCTACAGATAAAATAGTCTGTTTGGCAGAAATCACTAGCACACGGCATAAAGAAGCTAAAGTTCTATTCTTTTCAATATAAATGATAATAAGAAATATCTTATTTATTTACGGTTAACTATCTATATTTAGTAATTAATTTAAGAGTAAATATTAATGAATTGAACTAATTTTTGATTTCTATACTTGGAAGGATATTTAAAGCAATGCAACTAAGACCAGAATTAGTCTGATATTAAAAAACATGTAAGAATTATCGACAAAAATTCTCATTTGATATATATCATTATGCTTTTTTTACTTATTAAATAATTATCATAGATATAAATAAGGAATCTAATAACAGTTCATAATCATTTAAATTTTATTTGTAATAGCTAAAATAAAGCTCATAAAATAGATTAGTTTTTTTTGTTTTTAACACGCATCTAGATCCTTCAAGTGCTACTGACTCCAGTATCAAAGCATTGAATTCGCCATCGCGTATATTACCTATCATTCTTCAATCTATTGTTCTTGGTTTGACTTTTTTCTAATCTTTTTGCAACTAGAAAATCAATAATTTTATGATAATCAATATCTTTATAGAACAAAAGCATTGGTATTTTTTTTTATAAAAAAACCTGTATATTATATTACATAAAAATTATTCGATCAATATGTATATGGCTGCTTAATACTGTACATAATAAATTTTTATTTGCAGCTTTTATTATAACAAAATGAACTGAATTACAAAAAAAAATATAATTAATTGGCTTTGCAACTATCAAAACTCCAACCACGTATTTATACATATAAGGCCTTAATACGCAAAGATATCAAGCACTCGAATTATTATTTGGTAGCATATTCAATATATTCTATGTAATATAAGTTATGTGAAAAATAAACACTAAGTAACATATAGAATCACGCGGGCCAATCAGATTCAAGATTTTGCAGACTAACATCAATTTTGATCACCATATAACTATACACTACGTGATTTTATTACTCCGTTTCTGGTATATAAATCTGAAATATTAATTAATAATCAAACCCAAAATTGGTTACATGATATATCTCTGCTTTAGACTTCTCTAATTTATATACAGTATATTATGTGTATCACATGATTTATATATAGAGGCATGCTCTAGGCACAATATGAAAAGCATGCTTCAGGCTAAGGTATGCCTTTTTGGGCATATCTAAAAAATTTTTTGTACCTCCAACCCTAATAGTAACAGACATTTCTGCACAATGATAAAATTGTAAATAAGGCTTATTTTATCAAATACCTCTTACTCAAATTAATCAAACAAGGTGGTTTAGATTTTTTCACAATAATAACAGAAGTTTATATATATTGTTTAAAGTACAATATTCACACGATAAGAATCTGAGCATAAACAAGTAATAACAAGATATTTGTGTAAAAAAAAACAAAAATTCAATGAAACAGTTTATTTTTAGAAAAGAAAATAAGAAATCTTGTTTTTGGTAAGAAAAATCTTGGCATGTATGCTTAATGTACAAATATAGAATTTGACTATAATATTGATTTTTTACATAAAATCAGGTACAAATATGGCCTGTTTTCTAATAAATTTGTTTTCCAATATTATTAATCATATAAAGAAAATTAATATTATATTATTACTTGATTTTTTCTTTATTTTTTTTTATACACGACATTAACTTATATTTTATATTTTATTTCTTTAATTCTAGTTATTTCTGACAAATTCGTAACTGAGTAACTAAACTTTCTCGAACTAATAGCAAAACATTTGTTATAATGAAAGACGAATTTGTTCCTATTTGATTACTTTCTTAGTGAAAAAGTGAAATTCAGATATATCACAATAATTTTAATTATTACTACAGTAATGATAATATTTAATAGGTAATTCTCTAGTCATCTAGACAAAAATATTTTTTTTTATATATAAATTTTACTATAAATGTGAATATGCAGCGTCTCTATTTAAAACTTTTTAATACGGCCTGTTTTCTAATAAATTTGTTTCCCAATATTATTAATCATATAAAGAAAATTAATATTATATTATTACTTGATTTTTTTTTATACACGACATTAACTTATATTTTATATTTTATTTCTTTAATTCTAGTTATTTCTGACAAATTCGTAACTGAGTAACTAAACTTTCTCGAACTAATAGCAAAACATTTGTTATAATGAAAGACGAATTTGTTCCTATTTGATTACTTTCTTAGTGAAAAAGTGAAATTCAGATATATCACAATAATTTTAATTATTACTACAGTAATGATAATATTTAATAGATAATTCTCTAGTCATCTAGACAAAAATATATTTTTTTATATATAAATTTTACTATAAATGTGAATGTGCAGCGTCCCTATTTAAAACTTTTTTTCTTACTAAGTAAATCATTTTTGGTCTTGTAACAAAAGTTGTAGAGCTCATCAAGATACATCTAATAGTAGTAAAAACATTAAAATTGGCTTGGTGGTTCTTGAGAAATCTTTAAAAAACTTTTTTATATATATAAAATTTCTTTAAAAAAAATTAATTTTTTTTAAAGAAATTTTATATATAAAAAAAAGTTTTTTAAAGATTTCTCAAGAACCACCAAGCCAATTTTAATATTTTTACTACTATTAGATGTATCTTGATGATCTTTACAACTTTGTTACAAGACCAAAAATGATTTACTTAGTAAGAAAAAAGTTTTAGATAGAGACGCTATACATTCGTACTTATAGTAAATTTTATATATAAAAAAAATATTTTTGTCTAGATAACTAGAGAATCATATATTAAATGAAATAAAATCTGAGTAATGAAAAAAAAATAGCTAAAATCAGCAAAAAAATATCAAACACGGCAGTCAACAAAAAAAATTCAATTAAGGCTAACAAATGAAAAAAATATAGTATATCTAGTTTAATTAACAATGTTTGTGCTCATATCAGTTTCATAAGACAACAAAAATGAAGAGGTGCAAAGAAACTTCATGACTTTATAGACAATGTAATCAAAGACTATAAAGGATAGATCGAATATCTAAAGAGTTTAAATGAGTTTGATATAGCTATAAAAGAACCTGATTTAAAAAAATATTTGAAGCTGAAAAAAGAAATATGATGAAAAGATCAAAGGGTAATTCTTTTTTTACCAAATTTTATTTCAATATTTTAATATTAATATTTTTTAATTAATTAGATTAGAAGAGAAAATTATATCTCTTAAAGCTCAACTTAACTCCAACCAAAATAGAATTAGTAAATTGAAAACTAAAATAAACGAGTTAATACTTAATATCAAACAAATGGAATTAGATAAGGGTGATTTGAATATTCAAATAAACCAAATAGAAATAGAAATTAAATTGAAAAACACAAAGATTGAGGGATTGGAAAAAGATGTAAATGTGTTATTACTTATTATATAACATAATACTTTTATATTTATATTTTATATTTGATAATTACACTATGAAAAAGGCCATCATTATGATGAGTTTGAAACCAAATTAGCACAAGAACAAGAAAAAAGCCAAAGTTTTAAAAAGAAATAGGAAGATGCTTGTATTGAATGCAATGATGAATATTAATTAGTGGTAAATCTTAGAACAAGAATTATTGAATTACTAAAAAAAATAGAAAATTGAGATCGAAATTGTTATCATATGGAAATTAATTTTTTATCTGTAGAAATTTTAGGTTTTTGTATATCTATAGTTCATTGAACTATAAATTCTTCTTTAAATGATAATTTTTGTTCTCTTGTTTATACTTTATTCGATATAATGAGGTGAATGTCTTTAATATATTTTTTGTATAATTTCTTTGCAGAGACTTTGTGTATTTTTTTTGTTAAATAAATAAAATTTTTGGTAAACCAAATCGACTAAAGTGAATTTTTTGAAATAAATTTTCAATCATAAAAATATTAAAAAAATTAACCCAATTAATTTCTAGTGGTTTATGCACAATGATAAAATTGTAAATAAAGCTTATCTTATCAAACGTCTCTTACCCAAATTAATTGAACAAAGTATTTTAGATTTTCTGCAAAATTGACAGAGGTTTATGTGCATCGATAAAATTGTAAAATGCCTTTTGCTCAAATAAGAATTTTACATTTAATAAACAAAAGAAAAAATCAAATAATTCTATTTTTCGAATTTTATTTACAATATAATAGAAGAAATATATTGAATAAAGTAAAACATGAAATTGTTACTCAATTTTTTTTTTTGGAAGTTGTTTTGAAAATTTTAAAATATTATCTAAATCTTTTTTTAGACTTTCACCCAACTCTATTTTTAACTGTTGCAAATTTTAGTGATAATCTTAATATATTCCTGATCTGTATTTTCTTCGATTTTTTTTTTGGAAGTTGTTTTAAAAATCTTAAAATATTATTCAAATTTCTTTTTGAACTTTCATCTAATTCTATTTTTAATGCATTGCAAATTTTAGTGATAATCCTTTTATATTCTTGATCTGTATTTTCTTCAATATATTTTTGTAATCTATTAATTTCTTTAATCATGGCTAGCAAATCACTTTTAATTATATTTTTCAGATCTAGATTTAAATTTTTGTTATCAGTTATGATTATTTTCATAATTTTTTCATGTAATTTTGGAATGTATTTTGTGTATCTTTCTTTGCTCATTTTTTTTATAAATCTGTAATATTTTTTTTATTTAAAAGGTATATCATCAATTGTTTTGGTCAAATAAGAGTATTACTACATAGTAAACAAACAATATAAATTATAAAAAAAATGAAATCAAGAATAGTTATTTTATTTTTAACTATTTCTAAACTTTTGTAAAAATTTTCAAATACTGGAGAATAAGCAAACCTTTACTACAAATTAAACTAATTATTTTTTCTTATAAATAAGACTAAAAAATATTTTTTTTAAATTTTGTATATAAAATAGAGAGAAATATTTTAGCAGGGTGGATAATATAGTAAATCATATATTATTAAATTTTTGTATGTTTTATTAATTAGAAATTAATAATTTTTATACTATTTGATTTATCTTATTAAGACAGATTAAATAGTATAAAAAATATTTAATTTTGATTAATGAATTGCAAGATATTTATATAAATAATTTTTAATTTATATAAAGCAATTAATATTGTAGTAATTATTATCAATGTTGTCACAAGATAGTTGTAAACAGTAAGTTTGGACACTTTAAACAATTTTAAACAATTAAATAAATTAAATTACTCAAAATTTTATTAAGATAATTTATATTAATTTTTAAGTAAAATATGTTTAGCATTTAAAAAAATATATAGTTATATATTTTTTATTAATTATTAAAGCTTGAATATACTTTTGATACTTTTAAACACTTAGATATTTAGATATTAAACAATATTAAAAAAATTTTTGAATAGTCAAAATGTATATTACTAATCATTATAATGCGTATATATAGTCAACTTTCTCTAAATACAATTTGTACAAACTATATAAAAATTTTAAAAAATCTTGTATTTAAAGAAGTATTGTATTTAGGAATATAAAAATTTATAAGTATACAGTCTTTTCTCTTTATAATTACCTTCCATATAATCACTTCATATAAAAACCTTTTTATAATCACACCTTTATTTAAGCCTAATTACTATTTAATATATATAAAAAAATTTCTATATAAGTACACATCTTTATAAACATATTTTTTTAAAAAAATTACTATAGTTCCAACTGTGTGATTATAAAAAGAGGTAACTTTATATATAATAGAGACATAGCAAGGCTATATATTTATAGAAATTTTTATAAAACATGCATTTAGAGAGGTTATATTTATAGAGGTCTGACTATATAACTATTACTTAATTAGTATTAAATTCAAAATTGTTTATTTTATATTTTAAATAAATCTTAAAAATTTTGATTATTTTATTATTAATAATTATTAATTTTAATTTTAAATATTTAAAAATTTTTATTTGTTTATAAAATATTGCAATCAAAGAATATTCAATTAGTTAAACTTTATTTTTAAATTCAATAAATCTGCCACAAATTATTATTAGTTTTATATATGCTATTAAAAATATAATATAATTTATATATTTAAATAATAGCTTTAGTTTAATAGAGTTAATAAAACTTTTTTTAGCTTTAATTTTAAAAAATAGATTTTTATAAAGCTCTATTATTAAAATATATTATTAAAAAGAAAATTATAAATAGCGACCTATTGTTATAGTGATCTCTATATGATCAGCTAATCATTTTTGAAATTAGTAATCATATATAAACAATGATCATTATTTGATAATATTATTTATTTTTTTCTGTATCAGGTTAAATTGGTATATATATATTTTTTGCATTATTGGTTTTTTTGTTGGTTTTATTAATCTTTTTTTTATTAATTTTACTAGCTTGTCTTTTTCTTGCTAGTTTTGCTAGTCTGTTTCTTGTTAGTCTTGCTTGTCTGGCTCTCTTTTGTTAGTTTCATTGGTTTGTCTCTTGTTAGTTTCACTAGTGATAAATATATTTTTTTTATTATTATATAATGGACTAACCAACTTTTTTTTTTCTGGTTTTACTAGTTTGTCTATTTTTTATTAGTTTTACTAATTTGTTTGTATTTTGTTGATTTCGTTAGTCTGCCTGTTTCTTGTTGATTTCTCTGATCTGTTTCTCTCTTGCTGGTTTTGCTAGTTTGTTTCTTGTTGATCTTGCTAGTTTGGTTCTTTCTTGTTAGTTTCATTGGTCTGTTTCTTGTTGGTTTTGCTAGCGATAAGTTTTTTGTTGTATTTTTTTTATTATATAATTACTAACTAACTTTTTTTTCTTTCTGGTTTTACTAGTTTATTTGTCTCTTGCTAGTTTTGTTGATCTGTTTGTATCTTGTTGGTTTTATTAATCTGCCTGTTTCTTGTTAGTTTCTCTGGTTTGTCTCTTAGTAGTCTCACTAGTCTGTCTCTTGATAGTCTTGCTGGTCTAGTTCTCTCTTGTTGGTTTCATTGGTCTGCCTGTTTCTTGTTGGTTTTTTTGGTTTGTCTCTTTTTTGCTAGTTTCACTAGTTTATCTCTTGTTGGTCTTGCTAGTCTAGCACTTTCTTGTTGGTTTTATTAATCTGTCTCTTGTTGGTTTCACTAGTTAACTTTAGATTTGAGTTGCAGTTAGTGCTGTGATTTCGTTATTACTTTGGGTTAGTTGTTTACGATAAGTATTTTTTTTTTTAATTATATAATTAACTAATCAATTTTTTTTCTTTTTGGTTTTACTAGTTTGTTTGTTTCTTGTTGGTTTTGCTAGTCTGTCTGTCTCTTGTTGATTTCGCTAGTCTGCCTATTTCTTGTTGGTTTCTCTGGTCTGTCTTTATTTTGCTAGTTTTACTAGTATTACAGTTGGTATCATTATTTGGTATTATAATTTTTGCTGCTGTGAAATGATCATTGCAGTAAATAAATTCTGCTGCCATAAGGTAAATTTTAATTTTTTTTATTTTATGCTTTTTGTTTTTTGTTTTTTTTCCTTTTCTATTTAATTGTTTTTTTTTTTTTTAGACTTATTTCATCAGAATCATTCTTGGAGTCATCATTTTTAAAGCTATTATTTTGGAGCTATGTTAGTAGATTTTTAACTATAGATTTTTGTTGGTAGACTTTTGTCTTCATTATGTTTTAAAAAGTAAATGGGTGGGTTCGATATAAAAATTATTTTGTCTTTTTTTTTTTTTTTAATAAAATTATAAGTATATGTAGTTGACCAATAAAAATTGATCATGTAAATTATGTGTTCAATTAATTTGCCTAATCAGATACATGACTTACATGATCAAGTTTTATTGGTTAATTATAAGGTTGCTATAGCGATAGGTTGCTATAAAATAATATCCTTTTTTATATATAATTTTTACTATAAGTCTGAAAGTGTAGTACTTTTATTTAAAACTTTTTTTATTAAATAAATCACTCTTGGGTTTGTAACCAAAGTTGTAAAGCTCATCAAGATACATCTAATAATAGTAAAAATATTAAAATTGGTCTGGTATTTCTTGAAATCTTTAAAAAACTTCTTATTTATACCGTAAATTCTCGGAATAGCAGGCATCTGCATACTATTTTAACTACATACGTGCTATTTCGAGTACATCCATGGGCATTATTTTGATTCAAAGATTGATTTTTAATAAACTTGATTGCCAAAAAATCATACATAAAAAGTTAAAAAGATCATACATAAAAACAGAAAAAAAGAAACCAAAAACTGATAAATTAAAAAAAAGCAAAATCTGGATTTGACAAGTAATTCTATATATGGTGTGCGTTATTTTAGGACACGCATAGGCATTATTTTGAATCCGTGTTTGCTATTTTTAGGGGGCGCAAATTTTGAATTAACCCCCATATCCCTATTCTGAGAATTTACGGTATATAAAATTTCTTTAAAAAAAAAATGATTTTTTTTAATTAATGATTTGCTACTTAACCAGAGAGAGCTTATAGTATAACATGATGCAGTTTACATATAGGGTAAATCAATAGAAACACACTATATTTTTTCTAAATAAATTTTTTTTAAAACTTTAAACAAAAATAACTCAACAACTACTTAATCAAATTTAATAAATTTTTTTTTAAACTAATTCTAAAAACTTGTAGAATTTATTTAAAAAAAATTGCTAAATTTGGTTAAGTTTTTGCTGAGTTATTTTTGATTGAAGATTTAAAAAAATTTCATTAAAAAGATATAGTGCATTTTTTTTTTTTTTTTTTTTAAATATTAAAGTAACCACTTTGGGGTCTGACACAGTTTATTAACTTCTCAGTTCAATTATCAGAATACTGAATAGGCACCCCTTGACTTTGTTATATCAACAAGAGTACAATTGGTCACACATACAATTTTAGTCATTGTCTAATTAGGGCTCTACTATATCTATTTCTATTTATAGTTACCCATTGTTATAAAATAGTTTATTATTTTATTAGCTATTATTTCAATATTGTATTTTATTATTTATTATTTTATTATCTTAATATTATTTAGTTATTATTATTAAAGTAAAATTTAACAGACATGTAGTACGCTTAATGCTTAACGATTAACAATTAATGATTAGTGATTAGCGATTATGCTTAGCAATTAATGATTAGTAATTACACTTAGTGATTAATGATTAGTGATTATGCTTAGCGATTACGATTAGTGCTTAACACTTAACGATTAATGATTATACTTTACACTTAGCACTAAGTAAACTATGCTTAGCTGCAACAATTAGCGATTAGCTCTAAAGATATAAAAAGAATATAAATTTCCCCAAGTTAACATTAGACCTGCACCGTCCACCTCTTAGGCCCAGACTCCTCTCTTCTCTAAATTCTCTCTTATAATATTATAAGATTCTTTAGGAATAGGAACCTAAGGATAGCCTATCTTATTCTCTCTAATAAAACATATATTTTAT